TCTTGTCATATTGCTTATGATGAAGAGGAGAAGGAAGCTTCCATTAAGTATTAATTAAACTGGAGGGAATGAAGAATATTGGGGAATATAAATCAAATATTTATACTATTTTTTAAATTTTAGTTTGTATATATTTTAATTGTTCTTTCTCTCTACCTATTAAAGATTCCAGTGCTGAATATTCAAATGAAAATTTTTCCTGCACTTTGTACTGTAGCAGGGACCATATTTTCCTGTACAAATTACTTCCGTGTAATCTTCACAGGTGGTGTTGGCAAAAATGGATCAACAATAGCAGTGAGTATATCTTAAGATTTCTGTTGATTTCCAAACTAGGACTTGGTTTTGTGGTCAATTTGTTTTTCATTTGAAGTATATAAAATCATTTGTTAATTTAGTATTTCTACTTAGCCTTAAGGAAAAGTGTCCAAAACTTCTCAGTTTTATATATACATACATACATTTATATGCTTATATATGCATGTTCTTGTGCGTGCACAAACACACACATATTTTTAGAAAGTATGATCTGCTTTGTAAATAATAAGCCTAACCCATTCTTGCTGCTGCTTTTCATTAGCTCTTCCAATGTTCAATTTATAGATATTGTTGGCTGTCAGGCACCATGGGGTTATAGAAAGTTTGAGATGATCCGTTTTATGATAGATCCATGTGGTATCTGATGAACATTGAATAGTACCCTTACCACTTCTCTTCACTCTGTACAGGGAACAAGTGTCCTTTCTCCTTTTCTCCATATTGGATCAGTGATTGCATTAGCTGTAATGATCTACAAGAAATCAGCAGTTCAGCTTTTTGAGAAGCATCCCTGTCTTTATATACTGACATTTGGTTTTGTATCAGCTAAAATCACAAATAAGCTTGTGGTAAGCACCTCAACTCTACTTGTTTTGTTTTTAACTTTCATCTTATTTTGGTTTTATGGTCCTTGTTTTTATTTTATAGCTTCCTAAATAGACTAGGGTTTACAATAAAAATCTTTTGAAATCATTATGGAAGCTATTTTTAGTCTTTCGTAAAGCTGCAATTTGAGGTTACCAGAAGTTCTTAGAACCCCTAGAACTTTTCACCATTTTATGCACTGTTATAATTTGGTTGTTCAGTTTATCTGCACTCTGTAGTATATTGTCTTCAATCTGGACACTCAAATTAAGGCTCTTTGGAGAAAGCATTTGCAAGTTTAGTTTGACATGATGTGTCCCTTTCCTTCTCACACATCAGATTATTGAGTTTTTAGTGTTGGAAATTCAACAATTATTGCTGAATAATTCTTGAAACTCTGTGTGAATACAACACTGATTTACCACATTGCTCCCAGTTGCTTTAATATGAAAATGCCTACATCATTAATTTTATTCTATTCATAGGTTGCACACATGACGAAAAGTGAAATGCATTTGCATGATACAGCTTTCATAGGTCCAGCACTTTTGTTTCTGGACCAGTATTTTAACAGCTTTATTGATGAGTATATTGTACTTTGGATTGCCTTGGTAGGTATTCTCCTATCTTATTTCATGATTTGGTACTCCTTGTTTGTTTGTTTGTTTTTAATGAGCCAGTCCTAATTTATAGAATCATAGAATTATGAATGGGAATGCCAGAAATCCACAAATCATATATATAAGGCAGTGTGGAAGTTCCTTGTGACTTTGTATTTGAGTTTTTTGTTTGTTTGTTTTGCATTATTTTTATTAGTTCTTCCTATATTAGGACTCATAAATTCCAAATTTCTGACCATGTAAATCAGAAATTCAAACTATACCCTGTAGGCCCTCAACCTGTTTACCCAAGCCACAGCCATTCCTTTCTGTATTGTCTGTGGCTGCTTTCATGCTATAGTGGCAGAGTGGAAGAGTTTGGACAAAAGACAGAATTTAAAATATTTACTGTCTCTCTAAGAGTTATTGATCTTTAGTGGAAAGGAAAAAGCATGGAGAAACTGAGTTACAAAATTATATAGAATTGATGGTGAATTTGAAGAGAGAAGAAAGATGCCACTCCTTTCCTTTGGGGGAAATGTAGAGATTACCTAAGCAAGTGCTGAGAATCTAACAGTCCCTTTTCTTTCCAGGTCTTCTCTTTCTTTGATTTGATCCGCTACTGTGTCAGTGTTTGCAATCAGATTGCGTCTCACCTGCACATACATGTCTTCAGAATCAAGGTCTCTACAGCTCATTCTAATCATCATTAATTAGTTGGTGTTATATAGGAAACTCATGTTTTCTGCAGGAAAGAATCTGAACATATTAAGAAGAATGGGGGTGAATAAGAACAAATATAATTTATAATCAATGTTATGTAACTTTTATTCTTTGTTACTGGTAACACTCCCTAACTATCCTGTGTGAGAATGGGAATTTCAAGTCCCATCCTGTAAATTGTACATGTCATCATACAGGGTTTGGCCCAAGAAAGCATGCAGGAAAAAATGCCATGTGTTTGTAATTATCCTGGCTTCAGAATAATATTGTCATGGGGAGCAGGTCCCCAGTGAAGGAGATTTCTAATGTAGAATATTTGCAGGCCAAAAGATGGTTGTTTTATAATTTTAACAAATTATCATCTTTTAGTAACACCCTTGTTTATGTCTTCTCAAGCTTTCTTTACTAAAGAGCTCAGCTTGTGACACAGATACATCCCACTAGCTTGTGAGGTGAAATGAGTGATAAAGACCTGGAATTTGGGTTGAAAGGTTTCCTATCTTCACATTGTTGAGGATGTAATTTTTTTATTGCTCAAGAAATGGTATCTCTTGTGGGCTTGGGAAATCCTATTAGCATGCAGAATAATGTGGTAACTTTGTCGATCCATTTTATTTTTTTAAATAAATAAATGATCTAAAAGCCAGCTTTTTCTCAAGTTTTATTCAATGGGGAGATAAACTAAGTTCAATGTCATTTTTTAAAATTTAAGGAAAATTTATTCCTGTTCTTTAATAAATAAGGAAATTTGGTCAGCTGTGTTGTCATACTGTGTCCTGTGACCAACCTATCTTATAGAAACTATTTAACTTATAAAAGATGAACAGTGTTCATCTTCCCTCTTGATGAGTTCGTTGTGTTATAGTTGTTCCCTTAACCTTGTGATTATGGGACATTTGGGAATCTTGAGTCCTTTCCCCTACATTTTCAGTAATTGCCTGGGTCTCTCTAAGGGGTCATTTTGCACTCTTTTCTGGCACACTCCTTTTCCGTGTTTATACTACAATTTGAAATAGGAACTAAGTGTCCTTGTGAACCAGATCTATTTTCATTTGTATAGATGTTCAGTTGCTTGAATGAAGAGATAGACAGCAGAAACATTTTAGGGTTAAAATAAACTATCTTATTATTGACTTTTATTTATACCTTGTTCCATAATCCAGAATAAGCAGTAGCTGCACTTCCTTCCCTGGCAGCCAGAACTGCACTTTGTTGCACTCTTCATGAGTCCATCAGTCCAGTGTAGATCTGGATTCGCAAGATGAGTTAAACCCTGAATTTCTTTCCTAAACTGTAATAGGAAATGAAATCTCTTCATTACCTTTGTTTGTTAGTAACTTCTCCAACATCTGGGATAGAGAAACCCATATAGGAACGTGCTGGGACACAGCAAAGTTTTGAAAGCTAGGAAAAAGGAGGATAACTCTTGTTCAACAGTTGCATCTGTTGTCTTCAGTTGATTATCACAACAGGCACAGCAGGCATTCATCACCTGGGAGGCATTAATCACCTGGTGAGCCTAACTGCCATACCAATGGCACACAGTATTGAGTTCCTTTAGAATGGAGACTAGAATCCATGTCTTCTGAATACTGGTTCAGTGTTTTCTCCTACACCACACTGGATTTTAGTGAGCTAAATCTGTAAATTGAGATGTTGAGGGCTAATTGAAATGTACATCCTAGAGTCTTTTTTCAGCATAAAGGGAATCTGAAAAGCACTCAGATGCAGTGTGTGCTTCAGCCCTAGATACCATTTTCATAACATCAAGGGTACATTTGTATAGTTCCACTGGATCTGATCATTATGTTGATTTATCTAGTGGAGTACTAAAAACACCTGAAGCACCTTTTTTAAAAATATGTAGATTTCCAGATCTTATCTCTAAGGACATTTTAGTAGATTTAGGATGGAGCCTCAGTATTCTCATGAGCTTCCCAGGATTCTGGTCCCTGCTCTGAAACCTTTTGAGGTAAGTTAAGTTTAGGAACAGAGACCATAAACTGCCTAAAAAGATGTTGTGATTCTTAGAAGCTGTGAAGAACAGCAACATAGTTGGCATGGTGTGGACAGTGGAACACCTGCAGTAGTGTCTCTGTGTTCTCCAGTTCAATTTATATTGGCTTTAACTTCAATTTGGAAGCCCCCCTGACCCTTTTCAACCCTCCAAAACATTTGTATTCTTTATAAAATTCAGAGACTCTGAGGGCCACACTCAAACAAATAAAAGAGGTAGAATTTTTGAAAGACAAGATGCTTCTAAAAATGTTTCCCATCTCTTGCAATGTTTAAACAGAAGCTGTCAGTAGAGGTATAGAGCGAAGAGGGATTAAGTAACCACTAAACTCCTTAGACTCTTGCAGTTATGATTCTGTTTTCCCAAAAAGAAAAAAATGTCAATACAGGGATCCCTCTACCTTTAGCCAAAGAATCAAACTGGGCTTCTCAGAACAACAAGCAGTTGGAAGTGGGATATCTAAAACTGCAAGTAAAGTACTAGTCCAATCAGGGAGTGATGGGCAGGCAGATTATTTATGGAAGCCGGGTAGTGACTTCTGTTGACTTGAGATTCTCCACTCAAGCTGCCCTGTACTCTCCTGCCCTGTGTCTGGCGCTGCTGCTGCTTTTACCAGGATCTCTTATCCTTTTAGTAAGTGGAGTACTGCTTGACCCCTGTGACTCTATGACTCTAATCATAGCCCACCATGACCAAGGCCTCCTCTTCTAATCCAGTTTATTCTCACATGTATTATCTTACACATTGACACACATGTAAACAATGAGATTCTCGCCTTTATTATCCTCATACTCTGTTTTTATGTGGAGGAGCTGAGCCTTTGGGCCACAACTTCTTTCAGCTCTGCGGAGGATTTCGTAGTGGTGGTTCCCAGGAGACATCAGTTGCAGCAACTTGTAACCAAGCACCTACAACAAATGTACTACAGTTTCCCACTCTGTGTCACCTCTGCAAAAAAGGCAGCTTTGAGTCCAGTTCTGTGAGCTTGGGGTCTGAGCCCCCAAAAAGTCCCAAGGAAGCTCACACCTGTGATCCCAAACTCAGATACCAGTATGAAGCAGGACCTGGACACCAGGACTCTGGAGAAGGCCATGGGTTCTGGGAGCTGAGCTTTGCTGATCCCACCACTCTGGCAGGGGCCAAAGTCCAGAACTGGCTTGTAAGTCAAGTCATTCCTGTTCACCACGCTCTTATTTCACAGTCTTTTCCCTTGATTTCTTCTGTTTCTTCTGTTGTTCATATTCAAGTATCTTTTGTTGGAAATAGCCTGTGGGTTCAGATACAGAGGTTAGGCATCTAACATGATCAGGCAGACTGATGAACTCAGGAGTAAAATGAGAAATACCCTCTGCACCCCATACTATATACACCACAAACCAACTTTTACATAATATCAACCAATGAGGCATTTTCTTAGGTTTTAGATTCCTTCCTTCCAAGCCTACCAATAAACTTTACAGCTCTTCTATGGGCCTCTAGAAAGAAATATTCTTCCACCCCCTCCTCTGTATCCTAAAGGTGACCTCTGTTTGAAATAAGGCTAGTGGGGGCTGTCACTGTACCTGCAGGAGGATTCTTGCTCTTCTCAGCTTCCTGGATGAAAAGGGAGAAGAGCTGTGTCTTCACAAACTTCTTCACAAATCGGCGGTTGGTCTTAGAGGACACAGCCTTATAGAAGGACCGTTCTTGGAAATGGCCTTGCCCGTTTGCCTCCCGTTTGATATAGGAAGCATAGTGACCCACAGTCTTGACAAAGAACTGCACAAAAGGGCCTGAAACATGTTCGTTGATTTGTTCTGAAGCTGTCAGAGATATACAATGACCATCTTAGAGGGTGGCAGAGGATAAAGTTACTCATCTCACCTCTAAGGACAACTTTCATTTCAGGCCAACAGTGTCTAGGGAAAGCAGGGGGACAGGAGTTCATGCTACCAATTGATGGATTGAGACGAGAGCTCGGGTGTGGGTTCTCTGCCATTGCTTAGGAAAAATCTCATATTCCAACTTGCTTCAAGATCTAGGCCTCTGAGACTGGCCCAGGGCTGCTGAATGAGTATATTTTAGTTCTGAAGGGGAATAATTGCCCTCAAACTCCTTGAACAACCACAAAATAAGAGAGGACTTACTCAAGTCACTGATCCCCTGATCAAGAGAGACTAAAATATCCTCTTGAAGCTTTGGTGGCAGGATATCTTTTTCATCTCCAACCTGGAAGAGGATAGTCAGCTCAGAGTTCCAACAAAGAGGAGGTACGGAAGGAAGGAGGTAGCAGAAGACCATGAGGGGAGCATGAATTCCACACCCTTGCTCCACCCCCAAATAATCGCTCACGTAGAGAAACAACAGAGCTGTTTCTTCATCTTCAGTTTGGCTCAAAACTTTAGCAGGGGATCCCCTCCATTTCTGTAGTACTTGGTTTATATACATTACTCGAGGTACGAGCATTGATCACCTGGTAATGAAGTGGTCAGTGTCTATAGGACTTCCTCAAGAGCAAGGAGGTCTTAATACCAGGAGTTCTCACTCAAATGTTCGTCAAAATAGGGAAAACCCCATGAGGCTAGGGTGGCTGCATTGGTGGTGGGTCTGCAAGGACTCAGAACTCAGATGCTTACCGATAATAAGAAGGTTCCTTCACAAAGATTCACCAGCAAGACCTGAAAGAAACAGAATGGTTTTATTCCTTCACAAACCATAGGACTTACCATCTGCATTTCTGACTCTGGCTATTAGATCTTTGGGCCTAGAGGACCATGAAATCAGCATCTCCAAATCTCATTTCCTGCCTGGMATTCTCCTTCCTTACCACTTTCCTCGAGAATCTGTTTCCTTCCTAGGGAAAGGGTGAGCATGTAGAAAGAGGTAAGGGAAAGAGCCCAGGTAGAAGGAGGTACGATATGGGGAAATCCTAGCCAGTAACTGCCTGAAATAAAACACTGATCATAGTAATTGCTCTTATTACAGAGCCTTTAGTACCTGGCATACATGATAAGCACTTTGCACATTTTCACATTTAAACCTGGCAACAGTCTTGTGAAGCAGGTACTACTTCCATTTGCAAATAAGGAAACATCAAAAGAAGTTCAGTCGCTAGAGGTCATACTGCTGACAAACAGCAGGACCCTTTCAGAACCTAAATGTAATCCTTGGGATTACATTCCTCTCTCTACACTCGCCTTCCACTTGTCAGCCTAAGGACCAAAGTGGACATGTTTCCATCTTTTAATGCAGCAACTTTATGTACAGTTGCCTGAGGTTCTATTTAAAAATAATAACAATCTAGGAGCTTTGAGCCTATCAGCAAAAAAAAAAAAAAGACACAGCATGCAAGGAATGAGGAGACCATGTGCCTACAAACCACAGGTAAGTCAAGCACAGGGCTGGAATATGGGGGACCCTAGTTCCAGAACCAGCTCCATCTCAGCCTGAGGGGCCTACAATGGAGATGAGAAACTATAAACAGGCATGCTGCTGCCTGATTCCAACTAGAAGATCTATTAGATTCAGAGTATTTTAAAATAAATGGATTAGTTCCTGATATTTAAATTGGAATATTTTGCTTGAAATTTGGATTTGGGGCTCTTCCTAAAATGTCAGGCCCTCTAATACTGATCCATGTTTTAAAGGGCAACATGCAGCTGCCCTCTTTGGGCAGGATATGCAGTCACCAGTATACCAGCCCCAAATCCTGTGTTGGGCATTAGGGGCCTGTGCTGGGCCCCTCTTTTTAGTTTTTGACCTTGGTCTTAACAGGAGGGTGAAGGATCTTCCCTTCTTCCAAATATAAGAGAGGGACTGAAAAGTATACCAAAAAAACAGCCTGCACTGTAATTATCCATCATCAGGGGAGAAAAGCTGAACTAGTCCAGGCCTGAAACCACTTGTATACAAAGGCTCAGATGCCTTCAGCAGGAAAAGCTGTTCATTTGGGGGGGTTGGAAGGAAAGAGTATGTATGAAGAATTCTTTTTTGAAGTTGCTCCTAGAAGTTCTTTCAGTATTTGGGCACATTGGTGTCTACTGACTAACTCCTTCCCTAGAGCTATGTGGGGAGTTAGGGGATCCCCACACATACTCTGACCACATTGCCCTCCTCCTTCCATACCCTCTGCCCATTTCTCTGAGCAGATGCTGAGGAATGAAACAAGCCAAGGCTCTTGGCTAGCAGGAGCGGAGTCCATTGACTCTCGGATATCTTCCCTCTGGGTCATGAAGGGAGGAACTACAGCTTCGGAGGAGCTGGAGCTGCAGCGTCAGGAAGTTTCATAACTTCTAGGGTTGGGACAGTTTAAGTTTCATTGCCAAACACAGTGCTAATACTCTGTCCCAGTTAGTCACAAGGCTAAGGGTGGTTCAAAGGGCATGTGTACTCAGTCAGCAGTTCTGAGGAGGGTGGGAGAGCTGGGGGAGAGAAGAAGGGAAATGCAGCCTGCTTCTCAGCTTCCCAGCAATGCTTTCTATGGATAGAGTGGTTTTATCTGTGCAGGGATCTGCTGCTGCCTGTGTGGCCTCAGCTCAGGGTTCTGTGCACCTTAGCTATCTCTTATGCAAAATGGGGGAAATCCTCCCACTAGGGCTGGCTTGGGGCCTGTTCAAGTAGCTTCCTTCTAGACTCCTCTCATCTGGGTAGYCCTCTCTCTGCATAGAGGGAGTCAGTAGTTAGCCAGGACAGTCATTCCCAAATAGTTCTGCTTTCAGATAACAGTAACATGCCATCTTTGAAGTTATAACAGACAACTCAAAACAGGACATGTTTTCAGTTGATTTTCTAACTATTAGAGATTTATGTGATTAGTGTCCKTTTCCACAATTGAGCCCTCTGCCATGTCAGTGGCACTTCCAAAATATAAGAAGCTAAAAAAATAAAATGGGATTTGAATCTATATCCTCATAAACCAACTAAGCTCTGAGCCACTCAGAAAGATGGTGCTTGTTGTAGAAATTGGCATTCTCAAGACACATAGTTTGCAGAAAGGCTCATTTCCAAGGAATTTGAGTGAATTCCAGTGGGGTGTGTGTTGTATAGACCAGCTGGGATCATCCATTCCACTGGGAGATGGGACACCCCAGAGATTGCTCATTAGGGCCAGCTGGTACAGGACAGTCTCATGACCTCTGAATAAGCTACATGCTGCCTCTTAAACCCAAGAGAAATCCTTCAGGAGAAGACAGCCAACACTTAATGAGCATCAACTGTGTGGCAGGCACCGGACTAGAAGGTTTATACAGGATATTTCCCCCAGAATCCCTAGGAACTGAACACTTGTCCCCATTTTACAGAGTAAGTCACTTGCCCCAAATCATATAGCTGTAAGTAGCAGAACCGGGATCCAAATCCAGGTCTACCTGGCTCCAAATCACGTACTCTTCTGGCTGCAGCATACCTCTTCCATGGGGCTGTCCAAAACTTCCTGCTGAAAGCGCATTTGTACTCCAACCATGAAGGGAGTGGGGCAGCAGACGGTGGCCAGAAGGCTCTCGGGCACCACAGGGATGTAGGTGTGTGCCCAGCTGAAGGGGTACAGCAGCGCAGCAGCAGCATGGATGCACTGAGACAAGGTACTGGGATGGAGCACAGAGAAGAGAGTCAGAGAGGACCCTGCACCTCTGCCCTACACACCCTCTCCTTGCCCTGCACCCACAGCAGCTACTACAAGTCCTTCCTGCACCTGTGCAAAAAGGCAAGTCTGGGAGCCACGCAGATCACAGAGCTTGTCACCACTTGTTGCCAGGAGAAGGGCAAAAACCAGGAGAGGTTCCCTCTCTGCACTAAGGAGCCACAGGCTCCACTAACCCAAGGTGGGGCATCTATTTGATCTTTCATTTCCCAATTAGTCATCTCATTACTGGTCCAAAATAAAAATGGCTCAGAAGCGGGGAGAGAAGAAGGGATGTCTTCATTCAAACAGAAGTGACAGAGCCACCAATGTGTGCCGACAGCTGTGCTGAGGATGATGTAGATACCAGGAAGAGTAAGACTCTGGGCCTGCTTTTAAGGAACTCACAGTGGAGTAAAGAGACAAACTGTCCACCTGGGCCTCAGTGCAGAGCAAAGCCTTTTCTCCTTGTGTCTATAAACCTTCATCCCCCACCCTGACCTCACATGGCTCACCCTGGCCACTTGAGGGCATTGAAAGCTACCAGGTTGGTGCCCGAGTTAGCTTGGGAAATTCCTAGATTCCAGGAACCTGTGGCTCAGCAATTCCTACATGGAAAGTCCCACAGAGGTGGCTCCTCTAAGCTATGCAAGAAAGCATCCCTCATGTCATTCCTGCCCAAGCCCAGTCAGCTTTCTCCTCGCCCCCAGGCTCGCACACATGCACACTCTGGCTTCTACTTAGCAGCTTCCATGGCTCTTCATTCCTCCAGCCAAATTGCCCCAAAGCCAAGGCCAATAAAAACACAGATGCGGAAACCTTGTTTCAATTCTTGGTATCAAGCTAGCACTTCCTGAGTAAGAAAGGTTTGAGTCTCTGAGCGTGTAGCTACAACTCTGGCTGACTGGAAGTCCCCTCCCAGTGCCAGCCTCAGGAGCCTGAAAACTCCATATGGGAAGGAAGTGGGGAGTGGTGATATCTCCCTGGAGAAGGTTCACTCCTTCCCCCTTGGCTTCCCAAACACTGATCTGAGGGGAAGACCAGAACCCCAGCCCCAGACACCACAGAAATTTCTTTCCACTCAGACCTAGGAGTGGAAGAGCTTTTTGTTTGTTTAATATTTTTTTAGTTGTTGATGGACCCTGTATTTGTATGTGGTGCTGAGAATCAATCCCAGTGCCTCACACATGCTAGGCAAGCACTCTACCACTGAGCTACTACCCCAGTCCTAGAAGAGCTTTTATTAAAGCAAAGATGATGTCTTTCCCACAAGGATTAAACTAAGACTAGTTCCTCTTTAGTCGTCACCGATTTTCTTTTGAATTTCAACACACAAATCCCAACCCCTACCCAAGCTTCCTCTCCTCTGAAACCCATGACATTCATCTAGACCTCTGACCTCTGTTATTTCTCTAACATCCTTCTCTTCTTCCCTAAAAGTTAGAACAAGGGCTGTCAGCCCAGTGACATTGATCTGTTCCCCCACCCTCTGCCCAGATATAAATAGAAGGTTAAACCCTCCTATTTTATGATTTTTTTTTCTTCTCCATCTGTCACATGTCTCCCATGTACTTTTTAGACATGTAGAAATCAAGATGTGACCGTGCCCTGCTTTGACTACACACAGGGAAATCCTTAACTGTGAACTTCTGAATAGCAGCTAATCCTCATCAATATGTCCCTGGCCTGGGGCTAGATGCTTATAATGTGAATATTTCCTTTCATTCTTTATACAACCCTGTGGGTAGGTACAATCATTTCCCATTCTACAGAAAAGAAGACCATGTCTTCAAGAAGTTAAGATGGGGACCTGGGGGGACCCTCATAGCTGCAGATGGAAAACAGGATTTGAAACTCATCTGCTGACTTCAATACCAATCCTTTCAACCACTACCCAATCCTGCAACCCCTTAAGGTCAAGAACCATGTCTTGTTGGTATCTTCCCAATGCTTTTATCTGGCAAACAGTTGTCACACAATAAACGTTTGTTGAATGAGTGAATCAATGGGTAGATAGGCTTATCCTTCATAGCAAGAGATGCCCTCCTGGACTATTCTCCACCCCTTCTCCTCACTCAGCCTTGCAAAGGCACCATCGTGCCTGCATTCACCCTAACTGGTCTTGCCTAGGCTGTCTCAGGAACAAGGACAGTTCAGTGTCCTGCTCAGAGCTAAATCAGGAACCTTCTTCAAGCCCAGGATATAACTGAGTTTGGAGACAGGGCAGGGGAGTTGCAATAGATGGTTTTCTACATCTAAAATGAGGATTCAAGAACAGGAATCAGGAGAGTGGACACACAGATCCTACAGTCTGACTTCCTTTGAGAACCTCTAGTCTGTTCCCGTGGCCGAGGGATGCAGGCCATCCAGTGACTGAGCCCACCTGAGACCTTCTGCCAGGAAGATGATCTTTCTCTCCAATACCGCAGAGGCAAAGATCTGAATAATCTGTTCAAAACGAAGACAGTGCAACAGGGAACTAAAATCCACGTGTTCGAGGTGGGAGTCCAGGGGCCGGGTCAGTGAGATGTACTGTGGGAAAACCAGAGGGGAGGGGTCGTTACATTGCAAGATCCCTCAGACCCCAGAAAGCTGGGCCGCTACCAGCCCTACTCCATGCTTCCCACTGGAGAAATCTGATCCTGTCTCTTTGCCCCTATAAAAAACCCACAGGGGGGTTTGCTCTGCTCTAAGGATGGCCTGACCTAATCTTCAACATGGCACATGAGGTCCTGCCTTGAGCATGCACCCCTCTCAACATACTTCACACCTGTCTACCTGTGTCTCAGGGGCAGACCATGCTCTCCCACCTGAAGCCCTTCACAGGTTGGTCCTCCCTTGCCCCACAGGGCTTTTACCTTCTATCAGGCCTCAGAGGCCCACTTTGACCACCAATTACTTCATCATCTTTTTCTCATGTAACACCCTAGATTTTCTTTCTTTGAGATGATACACTTTTTAATTATATATTCATTGATAGTTTGCTTATTTAATGTCTGTCTTCCCTATCAGGCTTTTAGCTCCATCGCGGTAAGGGACCACATTCATTTTGGTCACCACTGGGTATRCAGAAAATAGTACATATTGGCACACAGAAATCATTGAGTATTTATTTTTCAAGTCAATGAACAATCCTAGATGCTTCCATATTCTTCCATGGGGAAGACAGAGTTCAGAGGGGCACATAGACCCTCTATGGCTCTGGACTAGAATCCCAGGGGTCAGGACTAGAATTCTGTCCCACTTGCTGCCTCAGTCTGTTTTGTGCCTTAGAACAACAGCATCCCCACATACCATGGTGGGGATGGACTCAGGGATGGGGATGGGCGATAAGAAATAGGCAGGTGGAGGCTACAGGTAAGAAAGAAATATAGGACAGACACACAGAATAAAAGGGAGGTGTTCTATGCAAGCAGCCCTTTGGGGACTGGGGACAAAGTCCTTTCTAGCACCCAAACCCTCAATTTACATGTTTTACTGATCTCAGTGGCTTGAACAATAACTAGGTGCTTTGGGGTATCATGTTGGAAGGCTCAGCAAATGTGAGTTTGACTGTCAGCTCTGCCATTAATTCTAACCAAGTTCCAGTCCCTGCCTGGCTCAGTTTCTCTGTACGTTAACCTGGTGAGGAGAAGAACAGTAGTGAGAGGTGCCACAGAAGCCTACCCTCTCCAGCCAGGGAGCTTTCACCCCTGTGCTAGCTCACCTCTGTGCCAGAGTCAGGGATGAAGCTCTTGAGGGTGACAGTTTTTCCAGGTGCCGGGAAGGCCGCCTCTCGGAGGCCCTGCATGAATGGGTAGATGACAGCCATYGAGATCTGATGCCTCTTTTCCACTTCATCCAGGATCTGCCACAAGAAAGGGCCACAAGAGACAAGGCTCAGAGGGATGCCACTGATCATCCTGAGGCGCTCATGCACCTTCGAGGCCCCTCCACCACCTGGCTCTTTCCCTCCCTTGCTCTCAGGCTCAATCATCTGCTCTCTATCTTCTGAACAAGACCAGATATGTCCTAGCCTTCTTTTCATTCTCTCTACCAAGCCATATGCCTCCCTTCCCACACTAAAATAAAACGACAGGCCCCAGAAAGCCACGCCGCAGCACTCAGCATCCATGACAGCAGTGCCTGGAATGGATCCAGTGACCTCTTGAGTGTCACTCTGACCTCCAGTTCCACTGGAGACTCTCCAAAGTCAGGGTCAGGAACTGCTTCCAGCCCTCAGAACACTGCTCAGATGAAAGTTCCGCCCAAGCAAAGCTGACGGAGGTCCTGCCCTGGTCCCCCAGGAGTCTTGCCGGGGCAGAGCACTAAGAAGCCCTTTACAGCCACTGAGACATGTCCACTCTGACGGCTCCTCTCCCATCCTGACTCAGTGTGCTGGGGCTCCAATCAGTCCAGCAGCCCAAGACATGGGCACCTCAAGTTCTACCCTTAAAGGGGTTAGAGCAAGGCTTGGGGCCCCTACTATATGATGACTACCTTCCTATTTGTTCATAAAGAGACTTCTCATAGCAGCCCAGGGGAGAGGAAGCTGAAGGACCATTAGATCCACTGGACAGAGGAGGAAACTGGAATTCAGGGCAGAAGATTCCTGAGGCTCTTCCCCTTATCCTGCTTCAACTGCTTTCTGACTTGACTAGAGTGCCCTCTCTGCAGGGGAGTTAATCCTCCAGATTTTCCTAAAATCAAGTTAGGCCCAAGCCCCTCTCTGCTCCAGTGTCCCCAAATGTCCTCAATGAAGGCCAGGCTACGGGGAAGGAGGTCCACTCAGGACACAAGTTGCACAGGAAGAGCGAGAAGCCAGACCAAGCCCAGAAGCTGAACAGGCCTAACAGGCCCTGAGGAATCCTGTTCCACCCCTACCTTGGAGAACAAGCCGAAGCAGCCAATGCAGCTGATGATGCAGTACACTTTGGGAAGTCGAGGGCCGGGGCCGGCGGGCTGGGGAGGGACAAGAGGCATCTTCAGTGCTGCAGCCTTCCCAGTGGCTTCTCCCACCTGGGGCTGAGGAGCTCAGGGCTGAGTGCTGGGGGTGGGGGTAAATGGGGACTTATGGGCTGGATGGAGAAAGGCCTGGCTAGGCAGTGGTTCCATTCATGGGGCAGGCAGCTGGGAGGTCAGAATGGTCACCAAGGTCAAAAGAAGATGGCCTTCAGGGAGCTGAGGTTCATAGACAAGCCCCGCTGCCTTCAGGGCCAACACAATCTGAAGATCAGCAAAGCGAGGGAGCAGGCACGTCTTAGAGATGAGGAAATGGCTAAGTAGGACAGCACTGTCAAGGTGCTTGCGGAGAATCGTGGAGACCCAAGAAGTGGACCTAGTTGTTCAAATTCCAGCCTCTGCTCTGGGGGACTCCCTGGGCCAAGGCAAGCAGGTCTGAATAAGAAGACAGGGAGAGGAATCAAGTGGAGCCTCTCACAATGCACGGAGCTATTAAAAGCTAGGAAGGGCACAGACCAGAACCTGGCCAGCAAAGGTATCACAGGTGAGAAAGAAGGAGTGCAATGTCCTCCTTCTCATGGGGCTGCAGAAGGGATATTAGCATAATAGCAAGTTCTGGGCTGAGTCCCTACAACCACCACTGCAGGGAGCCTGAGCTTTTGCAAGTGAAGCCTGAGCAAGCCCAGCTGTGGAGCTGAGCAGGCTGCAGATAGGAGGGGGCAGTTCTGAGCAACACAGACCAAGAGGCGCCTGCAGTATCCAATCTTTCTGCTGCCGTCCACATTGGTCAGGACAAAGGAGAAAGTCTCCCTGCAAAAGAGCAAACAAGACTTGGTTTGCATTACTCAATAGATTCTAAAAGGAGGTCAAAAGGGAGCTGCTGAATAATCATGTTAGTAATAACCCCAGTAATTTATTAAATGCTTATTGGTGTCAAGCCCTAAATGCATCACCTCATTGGATCCTCAAAGAAATCTTTTGAGGTAGGTTTGATTATTATTTCCACTTTAAAGATGAAGGACTGAGGCTCTGAGAGGGTGAGAGGATATTGCTTGCCTGCTTTACTTATTTTTGGTACTGGGGTGTGAACCCAGGGCACTTTACCACAGAGTCACATCCCCGGTTCTTTTTATTTTTTTTTTTTATTTTCAGACAGGGTCTTGCTAGTTTGCTGAGGCTGACTGTAAATTTGCAATCCTCCTGCCTCAGACTCCTCCCCAGGTCCCTGAGATTACAGGCCTGTACCACCACACCCCACCTGTAAAGGTATGTATTGAAGGCAGACTTGTAAGTGGTAAAGCCAAATTCAAACCCAGGGAGTCAACTTCCAGGGCTGATGTCATAAGGGTCTTTGCTATGTTACCTTCATAGAGGCCACAGGCCTCCTGTCCATCCAGTTTCCACCAGTAGCAGAGTCAAATACAATTATTGCTCCTCGGACATCTGAGAATTCCAGCCATCTTTGGACAGAGGTAGAACCACAGCTAGATGCTTGGCCTTAAGGGCCCTCAGGCAAGATGTTTATAAATGAATCAACTCCACCCTGTGGCAGGAAATCCGGCATGCACACCAGGGGAGGGGACCACAGGAGACACACGTGGCCCACACTTGCCCCTTCTTTCCCAATCTGATACTCCAGGGTGGAGCAGTTACCTGGGATACTCGGTGAGAGGTGCCCACTCATTCCCATCTGGGAAGCAGAACAAGGGGATGGCTTTGAGAAGCCGCTCCTCCTCCTCCTGCTGCCCTCGAAGCAGATTCTCCCGCTGGAAGAAAAAGAAAGGAAGGGATTGTGAGGGCAGGAAGGATAGCAGGCTTTTGAGGCTTTAAAGCTATCTCGGAATACGCTTTTCCACGTGGGGGGGTCAAAGGGCACCTCTGTCTGAATTCTGGGTCTAGCAAGAGAGGTCCTTCTGGGCCCCATTGACGTGAGCATGGGTTGGACTTTAGTGTCTTGAGGATCTAGATAGTTAAGAAGCAGATCAGGGGCCACACTGCATACCGAAAGGCCCTGAGCTGACCCAGCCCCTGGGAGGGTGATGTCAGAGAGATACCACATCAGAAAAGAGAAGCGGCCAACTCAGTCGCTGCACCTGCTAACGAGAGGGGTTAACCAGAAAGATGCCCTATTTCACCTCTTGCCCAAGTGCAGCATCAGACAAGAAGGAACCTGATGCTTGGGCTGCGGTGCAGTCCCCGGCCTACCCACTAACTCTGTGCTGCCCTGCCCTCTCCTCCCCACAGAGCAGGAGGGGACTCCTTCTAGAAGGCATGGCAGAAGGTAAGCTTCCCTATGGAGAAAGGTGACTGAGGATGGAATCTGGGCAAACTCCGAGGTCCCAAAAGGGGCAAGAGCTCCAGTCCAGCTTCCCCTCTAGGGAGCCTCAGCCTCAAAGAAGCAAGCAGACCTAGATTCTCTGGGTGATAACAGAAAACTAGGGCTGGGCTAAGAAGGAAATAAGAGCAGCACACCCAGAGCTCCAGCCCCGGCAGGGAGGGGGGAAGAGTGGAACCCCCATTCTCGGCCCCYACCCCCTCCTTCAGTCCTTACCTTGGGAAACTGGTAGGTGATGGTGGGTTCATAGTCGTCTCCTGAGCGCTTTTTTTTAAGAGAAACCACCAGAAGATATTCAAAGAAATGCTGCCCCCCAGCAAAGCTGGGCAGAGAGTTCTCTTGAGTCCTTTCTGGTTCGTTTACAGCCTCCCCTAGATTGTCCCGGGCAGATCCTGAAACCAAGACAGAGCCGTCTGTTCAGGATCTCTTTGATCCATTCTGTGGAGTCTGTGAGAATGTGGGCAACCTGCAGGGCTCCAGGCTGCCCTGCCCACGCTGAGACACCTGAGCCTGGCCAGCACTGCCGGTCAGCAAACAAAACCAAAGCCAAGTGGGCAGTTTCCACRCACGCCCTGGGAGGTTTAAAACTGGGATAAGCCAAGAGAAGGAGAGAAACCACCGAGGTAGAAGCTGAGGAAATATACTGGACAGGTTCATGGAGACCCTATCCCCTGGGGAACCACAGAGTCTCTGCCTACCGGAAGAGTCCAGGAACAGCAYGCCTTGAGTGAACTTGTACTACATGAGCAGAACAGGCCCAAGGGGCATAGGACTGTGATCACACAATCAGGCCACAATCAGCTCTGCAAAACTGCAGGGAAAACCTCATGGCCCAGTCACATGGGGGAACATATGGRGGTCAACATATGAAGGAAAAAGAGGAAGGAGCACTTCAAGAAAGGAACAGTCCCATTTAAAAGGGTTCTCCTGATAAAATAGGAAGTGGACAAGCCAGTCCTGACCTGCTCGGTGTCCGAGTCGAGGCAGTCGATTTCGGAAGCGCCTGAGTGCTCGGCCGACCGCTCGTCCTTCCATCTCCCCGTGCCTTCAGGACATGGAGTGGGCTCCCCTTTCCCCCAGCACAGGCTGGCTACAGAGAGGCCACTGCTTTGGTCTCCAGCCACAACTCTCTAAAGAGGAGCCACACGCTAGCTTCCAAAGAGGGGAGAACAGTTCCCATCCTGTGCACCCCGTGGTTGAACAAGAAAGATGTCACGGGACCCAGGAGGCAGCTGAACGTGGGCATGAGAGCGGCAGCATCCTGGCACTGCGACGCAGCTCCAGGCTCCTCCCAAAAGCCCCAGGGTGTGGTGAAAGAAAAGGTCATGAGCAAACACCTCCAAGGACCAGCTGCTTCTGGGCTGAGGGCTTGTAACTCGGGACTGCAGACTTCACAGCGAGTTTATTTACAACTTCACTGCCCTGAGGAACGCCTGATAGCATCAGACGGTGGATCCTGGAAGGATCCTAGAACCTCGCCAGTCTCAGGACAGGGATCTTACATCTCCATAGCTTTGGTTGCTCACCTTTCACTTCTCAACATGGTCAACAGCAGCGGAAAGCTCCTACAAGGTTACCTGCTACAAACTTCAAGGACTTCAGGACCTCAAATGAGATCACAGAACCAAGCTTTCCCTGAGAAAGGTAGACTTGGCCTAATAATGATCTATTGATGAATTCTTCTAGCAGGACAGGGAGTCCTAGAAACTAATATGGACCACAGCCTCCTCTCCTGATGATGAAGTAGAGAACAAAGTCCACCCCTGAGTTGGGAATTCTTGCTATTTCTGGAATAACCCCCTGCAGCATGTCCTGTGCAAAGGCAGAGAGTTCTCTCACTAGGACTACTCCAGGGCTCCAGCAAATTCCCTCTTTCCAAATAGGAACCACTGACTCAGGAAATTGTCCCYAGCCTAAATAGGGGACTGGTTGCATCAGCAGCCTAAAGGTCACTTAGTGGCAGTGGAAAGCATCCGGGTGATCTCCACTCCACCCCATTCCTGCTTAGCCTGTCTCCCTGTGGGGGCAGGCCAACAGGCTGAGCTGCTGGCCCACGGCTGGATYTGAGGAACAAGGAAGAGGGAAAAACTAGCAGTAAACCACCTAGGCTTCTCACAGACACCCTTGAATAAGGAAATGCACACGATAAGAAGCAAGAACTTTTTGTCAGGAAGTTGCCTCAAAGAAGAAAGAGGCTGGAGGCCGAGGGGTTCGGTGTCAGGGTCAGCCACTCCTGCAGAGGACAAGCAGCCTTCTGGGAGAGAGTGGGGTTCTGGGGTAGGAGAGGTGGCTGCCTTGCTGCTAAGAGCTGTCAGCTGGGCTTTTGAGGCCATGATTCCTGGGGAAATCCCAATCCCAGTAAATAAGGATATCACAAATGTTATAATTGGCGAGAAGCATGAACCAGAACTCAGAGACTTTGCCACACCTTTACCTACATACCACCTGCACAGACTTGTTGAATAATCCTTACTGCCTATTTGAGGAACAAGCAACTTCCTGATATAGGTGGAGAAACTGAGGCATGAAGTAATTCTGAGGTTATTTAAAATTAACAGGATCTGCTGAAGGTGGGGATTATGAAAGCTCCAGGTCCGGGTTCCTGCCTTCCACTGCCACTCAGCAACACAGCAAAAAACCCACAGAGGTTTGCAAAGGGCTCTGAGATCCAGAATCTTCTCGCTGCTGATCATTCCTGAACCTCAGGAAATCATGCCCTTTCCTAAATCCTTCGGATAGCATTTTAAGCCTGCTTCCTCTTGCTTTATCAGGAGACCAAAGGAACAGCGAAAAATCAAAAATCCTTGACAAAAAAAAAACCCATAACTAGACTTTTTGACTGAGGCGCAAGAAATCTATCAAAAAAAAAATCTATCAAAAAAAGCTTTCTCCCTCCCCCTTTTCAAAAGGGGTTATCAAAAGAAGAGAAAAGCCTGACAGAAAACTAGCATCCATCACAAACGTTTCCTGTAAAGCATTTCATAATCCCCAGTGCCCCAGAAAGGGATTATCATCCTGGGTTTTAGCTGATGAGGGACTCACCCTTTCTAGGGAAGTCAGGGCTAGTTACACTTGTTCCTCCACCAGGAAGCCCCTCCCACAACCATAGGACTGAAGTCCCAGAACCGTTTAGAATAGAGGTGAGGGGATTTTCTGACTGCAGTCTGAAAAGCTGAACTTTTCTCTTTGAACTGAGCTGTTTTCCACCCAGGACCGCCAACAACACTCCTCCTCACTATGGCATTTCACACTCATACACACACACACACACACACACACACACACACCCTCCTAATATGCAAATGCCTCGGCACCAGGCACCAGAAAGACACAAGAGGAAAGGGGAAAATCCCCAGGAAGGTGGATTGTCCCGTGTAGAAGCCAAAGAAGACACACTCCTGACCTGACAGGTGCTGAACTCCAGGACAGATAATAGAGACTGATTATCTTCCGGTTCCTAAACAGCCAGGAAGTTCTTCCCAACAATCACCAGACCTATGTTGGAGTGAGTGGGTGGGGGCCAGAGGAAAGTCTCATGTGGGCTACAAAAGGCAGACTCCATCCATTGGTCTGACTTCCCAGGTCAGTGCTCTCCAGAGAAGAAAGGTCTCACCCTGCATTCTGTTCCAGTCACTGCCCAGCTTCTGACCTCTCCCTCAGGGTGCAAGCTGGAATAGGTACTGGAGAGAACAGCAAGGATGCTGGGGAAAAGCACCGGGTGTCAGAATGGATGGGAAAAGGACACAGCCACTGTAATTCAGAGAAGGAGGCTTTGACCTCATCCTGGGGTCTCTCCAACTCTGGGACTGGGAGCAGGAAAGAAGCTCACTGGGCTGTCCATTTGTCAATGTTGGAAGGAGTGGGCTGTCTGGGAGTGACCCCTGCTGCTCCCCTTCCCGTGTTTGTTTCTCCTCAGAAGAGGAAACTTAAGGTTAAAAAAAAAAAAAAATCTAAACGGTTATGGCTACTCAGCAGTAGGACTGGCTAGTCAAGCAGCAGTAAACCTTTGTTGAATGAATGAATAACCTAGTGATATCCTAATTACCTTCCCTCCAAAGCCCAACCCTCTTCTGAGAAGAAAAGAAAGAAAACTCACATGGACTTCTAACGTCATCCCCACCAACTGGATGAGGGGAATCAGTCCCATCTCAGTGATGGGATGGGGTGTCCCACATCTCTGGGTCACCCAGGAAGCAGCTAAGCAGGCTTCAGCTCAGTTCTGCCCACCCGCCGCTCGTCTGCGGGGCACCTGGGCGCCCCTGAGTCGGGTAGGTTCGTGGTCACGGGGCAGGGCCGTTTTCGAGGCCGGCTGTCTTGGCAGGGTCAGGGGCAGCCGGTTCCCAGGAACTGGGCAAAGGCTACGGGCGGGCGTGGGGCAGCTGCCAGCCGACGTGGGACTGAGGCGGCGCTTCGAGGGGACACCGCAGCCGGGCGCTTCAGGCACACTGCGGTTGCACCACAAGTTTCCTGAATCAAAGGACACGTGGCCCCGGGGCCCCACAACGGTTTCCTTCGGCTGGTGGCCGGCCGGTCGCCTCCCCCTCGCCCCGGCGGACCCGGCCGCTTCGCTGACTCCGCCCCCGCCCCCACCCAACCCTCTTCACCGCTACCTGCGCGGTCCCCGGCTCACATGACCCCTAATCCCGTCCCATCGCCCAGCCTTCCCGAGTCCCGCCCCACTGCTCCCGGATCTCGACCCTCGCGTCGTCCCTCCCGGGTCCCCAACTCCCGCCACCCTCTAGGACCGGTTCCCGGGCCCCCGCTCGGTCCCCCCCCCGCCCTGACGCGCCCTGGCCAGCACTAACCCCCGCGGCCGCGCTTCAGTCTCAAGCTGGCTCGAAGGCGGCGGCCGAGCCCATCCATGGCCCCTCGAGTGCCCGGGCGCCCGCTCCCAGGTCCGCGCCGGCCCCGCCCCCCAATCCTTGACCTCCGCGGGCCCCGACACTTTCACTTTCATGCGGGGGGTGGGCCGCGGGGACCGGCCTGGGGCGGGGCGGCGCACCTTCCGGGCTCCGGCCCAACCCCCGGCGCACCTGGGCGGGACGCGCTTCTCTGGGCCCTTGGCAGGGCAGTGTGGGGTGACAGAGGGCGCTCGACGCGCGTCCGGGAGGGGCGGTGCCACCTCGCTTCCACCCYGCCAGGAAGCTCGACTTTCCGAGCCCCGCAGTCCCCGAACGCWTGGGGTCCCGGCTAAAGGCACCCCYACCTCCAGGACGAGGGCTGGAAGGTGCAGCTCCCAGATGGCACCAACCTAACCCCAGAAGGGGGCGGAATTTTCAGAGCCCTCCCACCTTTTCAACCCCTGCACCCCTCTCCTTGCAACTGCTTTGGCCTCTGGCCATTTCTCTTGCCACATTCTGCATATCACCCTGGAGGCTCTTGGAGAGTWGGTTTAGGGGCCTGACCCTGCCTTCCATCCAGTCTCCTTCTCCAGATGGACAAAATGACGGTCCTACCTGCCCTACCGGAAAGATGTAAAACTCAGGGAATGGAAAGCTTTTTGTAAGCTGTTATGTGATACAAATTTAAGAGACACTGTCATCATCATTGCAACTATCTCCACTCCTCCTCTAATCCCAAATCCCATGGCAGCCTTGCAGTTTCTCCTCCCTTTTCTGTCACTGACTTCCAAATATGCCAAGACTTCAAATTCCAGTGACCAACCATGACAGCTTGATAAGCGCCACTTGTTCCTGGGGGATCTGCCTTGGCTCTCACTCCCTCCCAGGACACGCATCTGTAGGGGTGGGAAGTGCAGAGCCCATCTGAAGTTTCTCTGTTCACCACTCAGCTTCCAGAGTGGGTCTCAGAGGGAAGAAGAGACTTTGGCAGAAGTATGTCTGGGATCCATGGGATGGCCCCCGCCCAGACCCACATCCCCCTTTCCTCTCTTTCAAGGTGACCCTCCAGTCACAGATGAGGGGAGAGCAGAAGTTGGGAAGCCAGCCCTAGTATTAAACTGTCTACTCTTAGCCTAGAGACTCTAAAAGTTGCCTTTACTTTGGGCGTAGGCAATTTTGCACTTAATTACACAGTCCATTTCTGTTCCCTATTCTCTGGGTTCCTGCACGCAAGGACACAGCTCTTCCCCCAAGTACATTCTCTAGGCTAGACCTTTGTCTTGGGTGTCTCTGTCAACGCAGGAGTTGCTTGTGATAAAGTTGCCCCATTGGTCGACTTTATTGTACTTTAATCTTCCCAACCAAACTACTTTTTTTCCCCTTAAAAACAGATAAAGAAAAGTGC